TTTATTCTTTCACCATTTGCATCAATTATCGCTCTACATCTCTCTTGCATCAAATTAATCAAATTTTTATAGGTATTCTTTGGAACCTTCCCCCATTCTTCGATCATAAACGTTTGTAACTCATCTAAATTTTTTGGTTTTTTTTTCTCCACATTTTTTTTTATAATTCCTCATAAATTTTCGATGAGGTTAAGGTCCAGGCTGTTCGACAGCCAGTTGATAACACAAGAAACCATTTTATTAAGAAAATCCTTGGTTAGGCGGCTTGTGTGCTTAGGATTGTTATCCTGCTAATACTGCCAATCGTCGCCCATCATTTTTTTAATCTCCGGAAGTTGGTTTTTTAGGATTTTGACGTAGAACGAGGCATCCATCTTTCCTACAAAACAATAAATGCTAGTTTTACCCTGTAGGCTAAATGCATCCCAAACATGAATTTTTTGTTGATTCTTAGGGATGTGATGGATGGGACGACTGTTTTTGTACCACTGAGTGATCGTGTTCCTAAACAGTTGGAATGAAGTTTCGTTAGAAAAAAAGATGCGGGACCAACCATCGTCAATATGTTCTTGGGCTCATTTAACCCATTTCTTTTTATGCTCCTCTGTGAGCATAGGTGTTGCGAGGGGGAGAAAATTCTTGTAACCATTGGCACAAAGATGCCTTCAAACCGTTTCTCTTTCGAGTATTATGCCCTTTTCTGAAAGTTTACTTACCAACTCACCCACCGATATTGTAGGAATTCGCCTGATAAATTGACCGATTGCACGTATTACACTTGAATTGATTTTTCTTGGACGACCTGCGCCTCTTTGTTGTGCCACATTATCAGTCTCTTTTAATTTTTTTAGATTATAATATATTATAGAGAGGCCGATGTTCGTACGCCACTGAATTTCTCTCACAGAGCGAATTCCTTTACTCCATAAAAGACAAATAGTTTCGCGCTGCTGGTTTTTTATTGAAAAGGTTATTTCATGCCATTATTTCTCGCAGAATACATTATATACAAGAAAGGGTAGGAATGGGTAGGTTATTGTGAGATAAATAAAATATAATTACACATGTCAAAAATTCACTTACCTTTTGTAGTTATGAAATTATGTTTGATAATCATTATTCTAAAAAATTCCAAATAATTTTGGGTACCACTGTATATACTATCAAAAAAAACTCTCTCCTGATTGCATTTGTTTTGTTAAAAGTTTTTCTTTTATGATAATTTTAAGCAAGAAAAAATGTTTTATACTCTTTATCACAAGTGAGCCCCAGCTCAAGAACTCAAGAACCTTCAAAACAACTGGTGTAGTGGAATGGAACCTCTGGTCAAAATCTATTCAAGTTTGAGAGTCTTGCTTATCTTTCGGTTGTATGAAAAAAGGCTTGTGGCAGTTTTTTTTTTTTTTGTTCTCTTGCACACATCCTTACCCTCATTGTATCATAAAAACTATCTACATCAATACCATCTTATTCATTAAACAAAATACTTTTCAAAGAATACACTCAAACAAAATTGTAGGATCTAATATTTGTTTCAAGTCAACCTTCACACTTAACTTTATAGTAGCAATATTTGCTGTGCCACCTTAAAATTCTCAAAAAATTTTACTCAAAAAACCGAAATCAGCTTATCCCCTATAGATTATCATCACTCTTCAATCATCCAATCAGATTTTATCAAAACAACAAAGCAAAAATCAAACCTGTTTAAACTGGTTTTCCAGTACAACAATAACAACAACAACATCAATAACTTCAAACAACATCAACTATATCATAATTTCTTTGTCACCTAAGCATGTGCAAACAATGGGAAAACTTAGTAGACTCTGGTTTCTACAATCGGGCAAGAGGTTTCTCTGGCTACACCAACTTTACCATAAAAAATTTTATTGTTTATTTGATTTAGTTTTAGCTTTAGTTATTTTATCATTATATATATTTTTATTTTTCTTATATTCAAAAAAACAAAATATACAAAAAGAATTTATCAAATTTTCTAAGTAAGTAGGCATAGCCGCTATTCAGGCACAACTAGTATATAGTATTGTTTTGAATTTCTTTTTTAATATTAGCTAGATGTGTATACATAGGCAAGCTAGCATTTAACTTGCTACTTTATATATATAAGAGATGTTGTTTCTTTCATGATGTATATCTTGTTATATACAATATCAAATAAAGAAATGATGTTTACCTACAGGAAAAACCTCTCCAAATATATATATATATATATATACTATATAGCAAATACTTAAAAAAAAACTTTCATCTGATTATATCCGTTTTGTTAAAAATTTCCTTTTATGATAATTTTAAGCAAGAAAAAATGGTTTACACTCTTTATTGCAAGTGAGCCCAGCTTAGGAACTCAAAAACTTTCAAAACAACTGATGCAGTGGAATGAGATTTCTGGTTGAAGTCTATTCAAGTTTGAAAGTCTTGCTTATTCTTTAGTTGCATAAGAAAAGGCCCATGGCAGTTCTCTTTTCTTCAGTTTTCTTGTATCCCTTCTTACTCTTATTATATTATAAAAACTATATACATCATCACCATCATACTCACTAAGTCAAACACTTTCCAAAACATATATTCAAACAGAGTTAGTAGGTCTACTGTTTGTTTAAAGTCAACCCACACACACAATATTTTCGTAGCAATATTTGCTGCGCCACTTTCAATTTTCAAAAAATTTTTACATCAAAAACCAAAATCAGTTTATCCCTTCAAGATAATCAGCACTTTTCAATCATCCAATCAGATTTCGCTTAAAGATCAAAACAAAACTTAAACAAGCTTAAACTGGTTTTGTATTACAACAATGATCATAACAACAATAACAACTAACACACTACCAACAATTATAACAACAAACAACATCACGTATACTCTATCATCTATGGTAACTGACAAGCCGGAGAGATAGGACAACAAGCCTGTCCAGGAGTTTCTGAGAGGAAATAATTGATTTTCTACTTATAGATTTTATAGTATATTCAATTTAGTTTTTGTTATAATTACTTTTATTTTTCTTTTCAATTTTTTATACTTAAAAAATCAAAAGAATTCACAAAATTTCCTGGGATGGTAGGCATAGCCGCTACTCAGCCTTATCTAACACATTAATATTGATTTTGAATTTTTTTACGATATTAGTTAGATATTGTAGAAGTAGGCAAGCTAGCATTTAACTCTTCTGAAATAATAAGAGAGATGTTGTTTCTTTCACGATGTATACCTTGTTATATACAATATCAAAATAAAGAAATGATGTTTACCTACTGGGGAAACCCCCAAAAAAAAAATAAATAAATAAACAACATCAACCTGATTGCAGAATTAAAAAAAAATAGATTTCACAATTGAAATTTTCACTTTTATTTTTTATTTTTAGGTATGGATAATAGTTTCTCTAATTTATATTTCAGATCGATAAGTTTTATATCTATTTTGCATTTAAAAAAATTATAATATAATGTTTTACAATTATAATTATAAACATTATATACTAGCATTAATTAATAAAATTTTATAATTTAATAATTTACAGTTACTGGTAAAAATTTTATGAACATATTTTAATTAAATATTAAAGTTAATATTGAAATAAGAAGTATTTAAGAATAAAAAAAAAACTCTTTTTTACTTCTTTTCAAATGCTTAAAAATTTTCTTTTTAGGAAACTTTTGAGTTGTTTACTTTTTTCTTCACTCTCTTCTCTTTTCCCATCTTTTGCTTTTTCTTGTTTCTTTCTCTCTTCATTTATTCTTCCCTTCTGTTCTATAAATTCTCTTTTTTAAACTATTTCTTTCTCTCTTCATTTTTCATTTTTCTGCCAAAGTTAGGTTTTCCCTTTTCTTAAAAGTTTTTTCTTTCTAGACCTCTCTCTCTTTTCTGAAATACTATTTTATTTCATTACTCCTCTGGCCAGTAGACTTCTCTTTTTTCTATTATTAAGAAGTGACAACTTTTCTTAAGATGTGGGCTTTGGAAAATTTTTCTTTTCCATGATATTCAAAATTGCTGAATGATTTACTCCCTCCAAAAAATTGACATAGTCATTATTACCAAATCTGATGCCTTTTACTTGTGAGTGACAAAAACTAAACATATCTAAGAAACCATTGTATAACTATTATTACCTGAATTTCTAAGGAGTTATGTCTCACAGTATCCAGAGTGATATGATAGTTAATGCCAATGTAGCTAGCAATAAGTTGCAGATGTCATGCTAGTAATTGAAGAATTTAGTAAAGTGATACATGATGACTAGGGATTCTAGTTACCCTCACAAACAAAGGTGGTAACAATAACATAAGTTCTTCATTTACCCCTTGACAATGTAGATCTATTGTGCAAGGTTAGATAACAACATATATAAGAAACTTTAACTCCATTATATCCAACAACTTTTTTCAACAATTATCACTACATATTCAAACACTTTTTCTCCATCTTCCTCTGCCTTATACTTGTGCTGGATTCTATTTAATTACTTGAATAGTGTGGCTATATATGTGAAGCTTCTTGTGAAGAGTGGCTATCCCCTTTCCTACTTGCCACATGTGTATGCAACTGCCACAGGCTAGGGTAACCTATAATCTGTTACAATCCTAAAAGAATAGAGAAGATTAAATACTAGATAATCGGATAAAAGCATTGTATTTCCAAACTCTTTTCCACTCATACACAATTACCAAATAAGGAAATTTTAGCAAAGTGAAGACATGAGTTTACAAAGGAGCCTGAGAAGCTCCAATGTGGTCAATAAACCAAATTATAATGTGACAGACATGTTGAAAGGCAGAAACACTCAAAAAACGAGAGAAACAATACCATATCCAAGCCAAAAACCCATTAAGAAACCAATGAACGAAGGGTCCAAAACTTCAAACAGCACGGACACAACAACTTTAAACAAAGAAAAACAAAAGCAGCTAACAATAGTTCACACTAATACACTCTACCACCAATCCACAACAGAGTCCTGGAGCCAAATAATGGAAAAAGCGTTGACGGAAAAATCCATGAAACCAACAGAAACACATAGAAGCAGAACATTAGCAAAACCAACCAAAGAGGAAAGCAGCCAGAGAAAACAAACAACAACACCAGCGTGCATAAATAACAGTGATACGAAAATGGAGACATCAGACTATACATGTGGTGTAAATTATTTTGCTGTTGACTCAATTCCCAAAATCCTCAAAAAAAATTGCATTATGACTTAATTATTTATATGTTTTAATAGTGACTCAATTAATTGCGTCAAATAATTGCATCAATTGCGTCAAATATCTACGAATTTCAGCAACATGTATACATTAGACCATGAAAACGATGGGGTAGAAGAATGGAACATTGCAGAAAAAGGGGAAAAGAGAAACAGCAGAACTGCAAAACCTAGACTACGATCACCCTTTGACAGAGCAACGAGGTACGGTAGACAGCACTGCAAAATAGCAATAAAAGCAGCAAAGGTCCCTGGCAGTACTATGGGACAGAAAATCCAATTCATCATAAAAGCTTTAAGCAGCCCCGAAGGTCTCTTGGCAATCCGTAGTAAAGAGAAGAAAGATGAAGAGCAGATCACTGCAACATTCGGTGATCAACAAGCTGCAGAACAGGCATGCACAATCAATTTACCAAATCTGGAAGGCAAACACATGCAACTTATGCAACCCAAAGACATATATCCAAATCATAAAAATAGTATAAGAGTATGGGATATCTCATTAGATACAAAACCGATAGAGGTGAAACAAACCTTTGCCAAATTTGGTAAGATCCAAAACATAAAGATGAGCATATAGCAGATGTGGCAATCAGCAACAATCGCGTACCAAGATCAGGAAAGCAAGATCAGAGTAGTCAACATGTGGAGTGTACCACTCAAAGCAGACACAGTCAGAGTCTTTGACGCAAAGTGAAACCTTGAAGAAATGAAAAAGAGAGGAAGATGGGCAGCAAAACTGGTAAACCTGCTATCCAACACAATAGCCTTTGACTTGAGGCACATCTGTTAACAAATCAATGTGAAAACATGTTACATTTCAAGAACAGAAACATACAGAAGAAAGAAAGTTGCAATAGTTAGCTTTAAGACAGAACAAGATCTCCAAAAAGCCACACAACAAGATTTCACTTTGAGAGAAATGATGATTACATGGGCACACATAGAAAACAAAACCTGTATCATATGTGACTCACATGAACACCTGGTAATGAACTGTCCAATCAAAGAAAGACAAGCATAATGGAAAACATATAACAGGGAACAAGCGGACAAATTTGGCAAACTCTATCAAAGTTTAGACCCGTCAAGACCACAAATATTAGAAGAATCTTTGAACTCAATAAAGCCAACATCCAAAAGCAAAGACCAGGATCGTATGCAGCAGCAGCAAGGCAACAAACCCAGCCTATAGATGACACAACAGAAAATACAGATCTCAGAGAAATAATGAAACACTTATGACAAATACAACAAGACATCCAAGAGATCAAGCAACAGGTGACAGAATTGGATGAAAGAATTATGAATCTAGAATACTATGAGAAAAATGGAATAGGTGCAATAGAGATGGAAGGTACAGAAGAAGAAACAATCACGGAAGAGACAATAGGGCTCAAAGAAAGACCCAAGAACAATATACACACATCACAAGAAATCGCAAACCTACAAACCCACCAACAACAAATTCATGCAACAATCAATAACCGTAACCAAATGATGAACAACTTGATAAATATAATCCATACACTAATCTCAGGAGAAACAAAAACCCCCACGCAACAATAATATGGGTAATAACCAAAGCATAAAAACAGATGCCGAAAGCATTACAAATAATCTAACAACTTTATACAACTCAATTAACAATTATCCAGAAGAAGACACAAACACAATGAACCTAACAAATACAAATCAAACCAACATAGAACAAATTACAACATAAGGAAATCATTCAAACAATCAGGATAAGAACATGATCATAACAAATAAAATCCAGGCAACAGAGTCAGAGAGAAACAAAAAAGACCCAAAGAAACCATACATCCAAAAAACCATAATACAAATCACAAACCAAGAATTATACACATGGAAAATAGCAATACACAACGTAAGAGGCTTTAATAACCCAATCAAAAAAGCAACTTGGTTAGCATATTGTCAGGAAGAAAATATAGATATCGCAATACTCATAGAGACCCAGATCACAACAAATCAATACAAGTATTGGAAGTTTCAAAACTACCACACAATTTGAAACAACAACAACAAAGGTGCAAGAATCATAATCATGTTGAAAACAGAAATCGCAAATCACATTGGCCAAATAGACAAACTAGCTGGCAGAGCAATCTGCATAGACATGAACTACAAAGGCAAAAAATACATCAGCATTTTTTGAGTTTATATTCCCTCCAAAGGCAATAGAAACATTTCTCGACACAAAAATGGATACAAGACAAAATCTGGGAAAGACACTACAAAAACTGGAATATCATAACAGCAGGAGACTTCAATGTATTTCACAATCCAAGAATCGACAAACACCCAGCAGGCAAAAGCCAACTTTCCACATCACAGACAATTAGAACTTTGATACAACTAAATCATATTAACATCTTTAGAGAGTTATGACCAGAAAGAAAATAATACACATGGTCAAACATACGCACCACAAAAACTAAAATAGACTACATCTGGATGTCCCCAAATCAAAGTTGAAATCTTATTGAAGCAGAAATAGATTCTTCAAACATGCTAACACACAGTGACCATGACATTACACTTTGCAAAATCAAAGTAACAGAGATCATTACAACACAAAAAAGACTGCCAGCATTCAACCAAAAAAATGTCTTTGACATTCAGAACACCAAGACAAAGCAATGGAAGAAGTATAAAAAACAAATAGAAAAATAAATCAGTGAGCAGAATTACAAACTCAACATAATGAAGTACACGATGAACAAGCTATGGAACATAACATGACAGACAATATGCAAATCAGCAAATTAACACTTAACAAAAAAGAAACCAAGAAAGAAAGGAAAAAATCCAATGCACTATACACCAATAAGACACAACAAGCTTACAGCACTCAGGAAGCTCAACACATTTGCCAGAAGATATTTTACCCTTAACCAAAAAACAGACAGTAACAAAGACAAGATCATAATGACAATAAATAAAATGAAACATGAAGAACAACACATTTGACCTCCACTGTGGAAGGAAACAAATCCAAGATCAACAGAAATTGTCACATGGATTAAGGGAATAAAACAGATATATCAGATAACCAAAAGAACAATAGAACAAGAAACCAAAGCAAAGCAACAAGAACAAATAAAGAAATACATCGAACAAAGGGAAATCAGCTATACAGCAAACAAAAAGAAAATGATCAACTCTATTCTCAATCGCCAAGCAGAACAAATAGTTATGAACAAACTAATTACAAAAGATTCAGAGCTGACAGTCACCACAAATCCAGATGAAATCAAGGAAAAGGTGCACATCCATTTTCAACAACACACTCAAACTCAGACCAGATCAGCACAACAGGAATGGAAGCCATAGGAACAAGAATATATACCAAAAGAAGACATAAAAGAGGAATGGTATCATGAAACAACCAAAACAATAACAGTCCCCAAAATTAGCAGAATTCTCAAGAAAATGTCCAACGACTCAGCCCCAGGAAAAACGGGCATCAGCTATCCATTCTTCAAACACCTAGGACCAAAAGCCATGGGAAGAATTGCCACACTTTTCAGCAACACACTAAGAAAGAAGAAATCTCAAAGAAATGGCAAGACAATATCATCTATTCAATTCCCAAAAGAACTGATTGACAGCACGACCTTAATCTTGTCAGACCAATTTCTCTTCTGGAAACAATCAAGAAACTCTTTACGAAGATCATAAACAACAGACTAGCCCTGGTGATGACAACACACTGAATTCTATTGGATAGAAACTGGGCCGGACTCCCAGGTGGCGGGACACAAGAACCAATCAGCATCTTGAACAACGTGCTGGAAGAAGTCAGAGAAAACCAAAAGGAATGCTGGATCCTAAGCCACGACATTAGCAAAGCATATGACTTAATGAAACATGACGTACTAGAAAAAGCAATGAAAACATCAAAATTCCAGCTAAGATTATTGACCTAATCATGAATTTGCTAGAGAACAGGAAAAACCAAATCATCACATGCCACGGGTTAACAAGTCCATTCCAACCAGAAGTAGGAATCGATCAAGGAGATACAATATCTCCACTGCTCTGGAGAATTTATTATGATCCCCTTATAACCAAAGTAGAAAAATCAAAATTAGAATACAAATTTACATGCAAAACACTAGCAAAGGGCCATGTAGATGGAAGCTATATTTCATCAAGATAACATCAATATCATATATGGATGACACAGTCTGGATCTCACAAAATTGGTAAAACATGCAAAGAATCACAAAAATCGTGGAAAGCTTTGCAAAAATAATTAATCTCAAAATAAACCTAACAAAGGCAGTCTTGATTACGATCAATCCCAAGCAAAACAGCTCCATCAAAATGCAGGAACAGAGGATAATACCCAAGCCAAAAACAGAAGCCATCAGGATTCTGGGAGTATGGATCACAGCAACAGGCAACAAAAAACATCAACTGGATCTAATCAAACATAAAATTCAAACAACAACACTGGCGATGTCCAGAAGTTATATAACGGACAAGCAACAAAGATACATAATCAATCATATCCTGAGCCCAGCAATAGAATATCTGCTCCAAGATGTATTTGCCACAGAACACATATGCAATAAATAAAATAGCATCATCAGAGCAAACTTCAAACACAAAAACAATCTCCCAACAACGAGTATCAACAGTAGAGTATACTTCTACTTTGGCTACAAACTCACAAATATAGGGGATAAACAAATCAAATTACATATAAAGGCAACGATCAGAAATCTCAACAAGCAAAACATCTGTGAAACAATTGCGAGAGCCAGACTACAACATCTCCAAAATAGTGCCTAGACATCCCACAATATCCTAACAGAAGAAACCCAAATACCCAAAGAACACAAAAATAGATGGAGTCAAATTT